TCCGTCAATGGAGGGCTTGGACTTGGGCTTGAGCACCGCATCGCGGGGTTATGGTGGGCTGAGCTCTGTGTCTGGCTGTGCTCTGGATCGGGGATAAACGCTCTCAGTCCGGTGGTGTCTGGGAGGTCGACAGGGCGGTGGTAATTTGCCCCGATCCAGAACAGTGAGTTCAGCGCAGCATCATCGAACGCTGTTAAAACGGCAAGCTGGCTGAACTCAACCGCATACTCCAAGAGGGGAAGGTCCTTACGGGCTAGGTAGGTGAACCTTGCGGCGAGGGGATCCATGGGGAAAATGGGGGGGAAAAAAAACACTGATCAAAATACGGAAAAAAAACACGCAGGGGAGACACGCAGTAAACTGTAACATGTAGCATGTAACAAATAGAGACGTTAGACACCGGACAAGGAAACATGGGGCAGACAACTCTTTAAGTACTGAACTAAACAAGGTAATTAACGAGACACACCTAAAATCACTGAGACAATGAAACATAGGGGAAACTATGTCAAGGGGAGCACATGGGGAGAAAAACAAACACAAAACAGGTCCATATTCCTGACAGTTATCTACCATTTGGATGTTTTTCTTTTTATAAAGCATATAAAAATTAACAGTTAAGGAAATTCTAAGTCTAAATCTAGTTGGTAAGTAATCATTTTGAAATATTTGCACATCATATTTTAGGAATTAGCCTGCATGAATCATGTAGTTTTGAGTAGTTTTTGAGTAGGCGATTAATTCATTGCTTCAGGCTATGCAGTCTGTTAGTTTACATCACCTCCCAATCTGTTCGTTCTTTTCTCATGTCACATCCCCAGCTGATCAGTTTGTATCGGAAACAGAATTGATTCATCTCTCAGTCTTTAGGTTTGAGTCGTTTGTTCAGCTAAGGCTGGCCACACACTAGAAGATTTTAAAGCTGTTTTTAAGCCTGATTTGCACCCCCTATCGATCAGGGGGCATGACCCAATTCAAGACTTGTCGCAAACTATTTTTTTTGCCCAAAAAATCCTCTGTTGTGTGGTGTCATTAAGATTATTTAACTGCTCCCAATCGAGATGGACCGTCTCCAAACTCAAACATGTTGAATATTTACGACTCTTGATCGGGCTGCCTCTGACGTGATACCCGCGATAGCAAATGAGAACGAGCAGGCCTCACCTACAGGATGTGTGCTTCTATAGCTGAAACTTGGCAGCCACAAACATGCCACAAATGTCGAGTACTGAGAAAGAACATCACCCATATTCTATTTTTTTCTATTTTGTTTTTCACTGTACAACAGAATGAGTGCCAGGAGAGCCAGCTGACAACGTCTATTGTCCTCCATGTGTTTTTCTTCTCTTTTTCTTTTTTTGCTTTATCAAAGTGATTACCTCATCATACGTATAAAGTTTAAAGTATTAACCAACTCTTTATTACCACATTTAATGTTATGGAAAGGAACCATCATGACTTAAGTTCACAAATTGTAAGAAATAAAAAGGCTACAATTTGAGACCAGAAATGCATCACAGAACTGTAAGAGTTAAAAATCAAACTTATTTGTAACGAAGGTTGGGAATTATTCATTTCTGTATCTAATACTGCTGTCACGTCATGTGAAAAAAGAACGAACAACTCAGGCCCGAAGACTCAGGTGAACTAATAATTTCTCTTTCCGGTACTGACTGCGTAGCCTCTGGGGCTGTCACGGGATGAACAAATGACTCAAACCCGAACCCAAAGACTCGAGGTAAACCAATCATTTCTGTAAAGAACCAATAGGATGTTGTGCATGTCTACACGAAATGAACTAATCCCTTGCTGAGACAACTTGATGTTCCCGGGTCATAATAAAGATTCGTTCAAACTGAACTAATCGATCATGAACGACACATCACTATGTGAAGACAACAAAGCCGAGAAGACTGCAGGACATCTAAACCTCTCACTCATGGATTACATTTTTAAATGGTTTTCAACCAATGGCTAGCTCAACCGACAGCTAGCTCAGTCGGTAGAGCATGAGACTTTTAATCTCAGGGTCGTGGGTTCGTGCCCCACGTTGGCCACACCTATGGGGCAGTTGTGGCCTAATGGATAGAGAGTCGGACTTGTAACCCAAAGGTTGCGGGTCGAGTCTCATGTCCGGCAGGAATTGTCAGTGGGGGGAGTGAATAACCAGTGCTCTCTTCCACCTTCAATACCACGACTGAGGTGAGACCCTTGAGCAAGACTCCCCGGGTGCTGCAGCACATGGCTGCCCTCTGCTCCGGGTGTGTGTTCGCGGTGTGTGTATGTTTACTACTGTGTGTGTGCACTTGGATGTGTTGAATGCAGAGCACAAATCCCGAATATGGGTCACCATACTCGGCCACACACACGTCACTTCACTTTCAAATGTGAGTCATCCACTGGTGTGCTCCTCCCCATACTCCTTAACTCCTTTCCCATGGTATTTTCATTAATTGGACCAAAACTTGTCACAAAGTGATTATTCAGTGTGTTTGCCTCATCTTTTTTTTTTTTATCAAAAGATGCCATATAGCCCAGAAAAGCAACCGGACAGTCAGAGCGCAAAAGAACTTCAGCTTAACTTTCAATTTTTTCCTATGAGACTTAACAGTCATGTAGACCATGTGGCCTTCAAAACAAATTCTGACTTTCATAGTATAAACAACTTAATTAAGTGTATACTGAATAAAAATAGTTCATAATCATCTTATCAAGAGAGAGTAATGGAGTACTTGCTCACCTCTCATTTCTTTAGCGTGAGAGTGTCTCCACTCACTACCATGTTTTTGGAGTTTGGTGTTTCCAGCGGCATTGAACAGAATTCTCTCGCTGCAGTGAGTGAACATCACTCAGGCTATGACGGCGATAACTATGATAAGTCTTTTTTTTTTAACCATATATTGATAAAAGGGTCTGTTAATTGTCCAGTATTTTGCAATTGACTGAGTTTTTTTTTTTGGTTAAAGTGTGCAGTGATGTTTTAAAAAATTCATATCTTCATATCATTCATAATGTCATGTGCACTTGAGGATTAATCATAACCATGGCGTCAAAGGTTTACAGTGAGCTTCATAATATTGCTTAGCATGAATTTGGAGTACATTTGTTGGGTTTTGAAAATCTGGATTTAATCAAATTTGTACAATGGCATGAAATTCTACATTGGTGTGCTAAATTAGGATTGATTAGTAATGTTTTCCTCACAGAGAGGACATGTACAGGAAACAGAAAATGTGTACCATGATTTATTTAATAAAATGTAATCCTTTTATTAAAGATCAGATTAAACACATTTGAAATTCTTACATGAAGTATAACCTGAACGAATATTTCTGTATTCAAATAACAATATATATATTTCAAGATCAAAAATGTTGAATATATATTTCCCCTGAACACCCAAACACCCAAGAAAATTATGATTAAATGTAGAATAACTGATACATAATTGATGTACTAGAGATTAAAGTGATCGCACAAAGTATAAACTGAAGGATTCTGTATTTAAATAGTAAAATATTATTTTGAGAATAACAATGTTGAATATATATTTCCCCTGAACACCCCTGTAATTTCCCCTGAAATTATAAGTAGAATAACTGATACATAACTCATCAAATCAAAAGTAAAATCAAATAATTTGTGTTGCATGTATAAACTGTCTTCACATTACAAATCAGATTCTTTAGTATCCACTTTGATATCAGTGTAAGTGATGCCTTTGTATTGGCCCTTGGTTTCATACTGTAACACACCGCCGTTCTTGCAAGTGATGATCACTGTGCCAGTGTAAGGCAGGTCAAACGTGGCTCTGCCGATGGTGATGTCAACATCCAACTTCTTTCTTGGTGGAACATCTACAGCAGTAGACAGAGTTTCCTTTCTCTCATCTGAGTGCTCACGACTGTAAGTGCTTTCTGCTCCAATGCTGACACTGTATCCTGCTGTAACTTCTCCAAGCACTGGAATGCCTGCCTTCACTTCCATACTAAATGTTGCTGTAAGACTTAGAGTCACAGACCATAAAGATTTTGTGGTTATTGTCTTTGAGGTTTCGATTGTTTGCTTTTGAGTGATGGAGCTGCTGTTCTTGTAAGTTAATGATTTGATCTCTTCCATGGTCACCTTTGGTATCAGTTGGTTTATTGTGGGATAGTTGACATTAGTGAGAACTGTTGATTGAACCGCATTGAGAAACATGAATCCCATGGAGTCAATATCTGCACCAGCTCTTCCTACAACTCCCAAACAATAACCAGAGCCGACATCCATGGGATATTCTTTTTTCAAACCCCAGCTTGTCATCTTTGCAAAAAATTCTCTACTCTCACTGGTCTTGAATTTGATGGCTCCAAGACGTGTTCCTGCTCCGTTCCCCCAGAGGGACAGTGCGGTGAAACACTCACCAGGCTTGAACATGTACTCTTGATATGGTCCATCTGGATTGCCAAAGGTTTGATTTCTACCATCTGAAAGCCAAACCTTGACAGCCTTCACCTGCCATTCTCCCACCCAGACCCCGATCTTCTCTAAACTGGCGCCATTGTTCTCACCCGTAAATGAAAATGAAGCACCTCCTCCACCACCAATTAGCCCTAGAGTAGTTGGGTAAGACATCTTTGAGGTAAATGGATCTGAAAGGTACATCACAGATTAGTATTGATGTTTGGAATTCAAAAATTTAGCATAATAGTAGTACATGTCCGTTGCATATTAATTTTTTAAATGGTCAATAAGCATTTTTTTTATTGCATTTTTTATTATTTCAAGACCATTTAGAATTTATTTTTATTCTCATTTTGTCTCTAAAGTATCAAACTATACATTCAACCTATATATATAACTATATAGAAGTGTTTCCCTGTTTCTGGAGGCTTACCAGCGGTACACATTTTTGGATTTCTTTCTTATCTGACCCTTCCATTTCAGACCTTAGAGTCTCTATTAATGAGCTGGTGAATAGAATCAGCTGTGTTTAACAGACTATGTTAATTGATGGCATGCCTCTAAGATCAGGGTTGGGAAACACAGTACAGTACAGTACATAGTCCTGTAATAATCTTATGCAAAGTATTAGAAGCTATAAACAACATGAATTACATCCTAAGTGCTCGTCACTGGAAGTATACTCACATACTGTAGATGATTGTAGTCTAATGAACTTCTCAAGATCAGCTCGTCTGATAAAAGCCAGAAAAGTGATATGTATTTGATCAGGATGCTGCTTAAATAGAGCTCCAAAGGGGGCAGGTGATACCTGGAAAAACACCAAGACACCCTGCGTCAATGTAATCAGCAATGTAATTAGTGTTTGAATATGAAAATAAGGTTTCCAACACACTTTAAAGCACCATACTTGGGGTATGTGGATTTTTTAAACGAATTTAACAGTTGATTGAACTGTAATTATATGAAGTATGAAAATAAGGTTTCCAACCCATTTAAAGCACCATACTTAGGGTATGTGGATTTTTTAAACGAATTTAACGGTTGACTGAACTGTAATTATATGAAGTAGTTTCACTGGCAGCAAATTGTTGATTAATCATTAACCTTCTTTTGTGCTCACTGAGGGCAGAAAATAATACACGTTTGAAACGATATGAGGGTGAGTAAATGGTGACAAAATATTAATTTTGGGGGGAAATGGTTATTTATGGGATTAATTTATTTCTCAGGTCATCTTAATGGTTAGGAAAGACTGCCTTCCACTCTCCAATATCTGTTGACATAACATAGTTCAAAGAAAACCCTTCCCCAATTCTACTTTTGCATATTTTGCATTCATATTTGCATTCAGAACTAACCTTCTATTTATATTGCAAAACAGGTTTCTGCATATCTTTTATTTTGCATGTACAATCATAGTGATAATTATCATGTCACAGTTACACATCCTAACGGCCAACAACTGTTACATTCCCAGGTTAGAATATTGTACATACTGCTTTCATGAAAATGCATTTTGTTTAAAAACAGCTGCTTTTGTGTATTGTTGTGCTTTTCCAGCAAGGTCGGCTCTACCAATGTTTTCTAGTGCAGTATGTTTCTACATTACTTTTTGTTAGCTTTACATTATGCTAGCTAACTCATTAAAACATGAATACATTACTCATATAATATTATGTCAGAATATGTACTTTGTAGCTCGTCTGGGAACTTGATGTACTCATTCCATACTGTGTAATTTAATGGTTAATGCATAGAATTCTGGGAATGTCTCTTTGATCATAAACTATAAATCATATTATTATATGGAATTAAGTAGATCAAATGATGCGATTTTAATTTTCCCTTTCTATTAGGACTATTAAAAGTTCTTGGTGCATAAAGAAGATCTGTAAAGTTGCAAAGACTAAAGTCTCAAATCCAAAGAGATATTCTTTATAAAAGTTAAGAGTCAGCCACACCTACCTAAAACGGCTCGTTCTAACACGCCCCAACATACCTACGTCGCTCTGTGGGAAGATTTGCATAACGCCGCCCAAATGTTCAAGCAAAGAAAGAAGGCGTAACTTTTATCCTCGCTGTAGTATTGTTGTTGCCGCCGCCATGTCGTGAAGACGCTGTGTG